TTTAGAATTTAAACACTACTTTGAAAACTCCTGTAAAGCCACTATGTGTGTGTGTAAATGACTGAATATTGACCAAACTTTTGTTTCTCTATTTAAATTCTTGCCCATGATATCTGCTATAAAATACATTTTAGGCTAAAATGTACAGTTTTCTATCGGCAGCATATTGCACAAACATACTTTGTATATTAGCTGCTTCTGTGCTCAAGAAATATGTTTCAAAAGAAACAGTTAATTTCAGAATTAAAATGGTTAACCATGGGAAATAATAAAATATGATTTTTAAAGGGTTAGATAATTGATATTTACTATAGTTGAAATCATGTATTTCTTTTTGCTTTTGACCTATTTGTTAGACATTTGTTTCAAATGATATGCCACACCTGAAGGATCAATCATATAATTCATAGACAATTTCCATCTTCCATGGCCAAGTGAAATTTCTTAACTCAGGATGTATAAAATAATTTTTCTGTAGAAAAAATATATATAGCTAAACAAACCTCATTTTAAAACTTTAACATTTACAGCAAAAATTTGAATGCTGTAATATATCACAGTGTTCTAATTATTCCTATCATAGGATTGACTGTCATATTATTAAAGGTCATTCTACTGATGTTTAATTCTGAAGTAACTGATACAATTTCAGAAAGCATGAATAAAGCAGATATAAGAGCATGATAATAGATATTTACTATTTTTGAAAGCTATAGAAGAAATAAAACTTCAGAAAATCAAGTTACCAAAAAAAGGTCAAAGTATCAAGTTTACTTAAATATAGTAATTTGATTAATATGAGTTAATTATACTCTGGGAAATTGTTAAGTATTGAGACACTTCAAAAAAGTAAGCTGATTAAATCTACAACAAGCATGGCTGCCATCTTGTGGGGACAGGAAATAATGTAGTAAGGGGCCAATCTCAGTAAAGAACCTCTGTTGGCTTGTAAGTCATCATTTGACCTCCATACACCAACTGCTTGGTATTTCATATTAATATTCCACTTAAAATTCTACATCAACATCCAGACAGAACAGATAAAAGGTTTAAAGTAAAAGAGGTCTACCAATATATATAACTGAACTCTGGTTACTAAAATTTCAACATCATGGCTAATGTATGGACAGTGGAAAAGCTATGAAATTCAAAGTTTTGACTTGAATTAACTTTAATAATAGATGAGTTTGGTAAAGTGCTTATATTTTAAAAATTATCAAATAATCTAGTTGCAAATTTGGTTGGAATTTGCATCACATTGAGTTAGAAGAAAATACGACATTGCTCTGGTAAAGCAACTTTATAGATTTAGGGAAAGCTTTGAAAGGGAGGAAGGAATTAAGAGCTTAATGTGGAGGGAAGTAAGGAAAAAAGGAAAGAGGGAAGAAAGGTAGGAAGGAAGGAAGGAAGAGAGGGTCACCAATCACTAGTGTTATGGGTAAAACAGTTTGACAGAGTAGAAAGTGATGAGTCTTACAAGGCTGACCTAAAAATAAAAGAACATGGTACACCCAATGTGAATATGTTATTATGGTATACAGGAATATGTGTAAGAATGATTTTCTTGAAGCATATTTAAAAGTAAAAAAATGTGTTTTCTAGGTTCAAGTCCTTAAACAAATTATTAGTACAACTTCTGGGGCTAAGTTTCTCATCATTTTCTAGAAAACCAGACATTGAATAATAGTGGCCTTAAGTTCCCATTGAGCTCCTAACTTCTTTGATCTAATAGTATAAAAGTTGCCTTTTCAGCCTCTCAAACAAACAAAAATTTCTTTTTCACTTCTGCAAATGAACAAGTCAATTATAATTTTACAGTCATAATTTATTATTGCTTGCATATATAGTCAGTTACTGCTCTTACAGATTTTTTTCTTTCATATTCATGTTAAAGTTACATGATACTTAGACATATTTTGTGTGCCTATCTGTATTTATAATACTAATCATACAATTATGGTGAATTAGAAAGAAGTACGAAAATGCATTATACTCCATTTTTTTCTATGGAATTCAAGTTAATTTTCTCCTAATTTTTAAGTACACTTCTCATACATTTACAGATTTTATGCTAAAACAAAATAAATCTCTTGAGTAACTGAATATTGTTGAAGAGTTCTTTAAAAATGACTAATGTAAGTTGACTTACTGATGTTATAACATCCTATGAGCAGTTAATTTTTAAAGTTAAGACACTGGTATTTTTAGTGTTTTTTAAAAGTGAAAATGAAAAATTTGTATGTTTCAAGTCTTTTCATTAAGTTGCTTTCTTTACACACAGTACATTGTAACAATTAAAGGAGATTGTAATTTCATGTCTCCTCTATAATGTAAGTTAACATTCCTCCAAAATCATGTTTTTCCATAAAAAATCATTATATTTTGCATTTTAAAGTTGCTAAGATTACCGACCATTTCTTCAAATTATTGATGTTCACATCACAACTAATGACTGAAGTAACAGTCTTCACATAGAAACAATAAATTCATAAATCATAGTTCAATTATATTTTTATTCCAAAAATTAATCATTGGTTATAAAACTTTAGTAAATGAAAGATGTGTTTTTTCTCCAAAATACGTTATAATGTCGAAGTTTTGAATTTCAGTGCAGCAAACTACTTGTGTGATAACGCATGAATTACAGCTAAGTTGCCTTCACTAGACTAACAAATAGACTTCATCAAAAGCCTATATAAAAGTGGAGCCAAGGAATTTGTTAATTTTTCCCTCTAGAACTTAACATCTAATTTACAGATTAAAAGGCTGACTAAATATTAAATCATGATATGCAATTTTCTAAAATAGAAAATACAGTTAACACAAAAATCAAAATGTGTTTAAACTTATATTCCACACAAAATCTATTAATTAGAACTCATTGGACACAGAAATTATTTGAATGGAGGATTTTGGAATGATGCAAATGTTTTCTCCCTAATACACTAGACAGATTTCCAATAGAGAAGATAGGATGAATTGTCTGTATTTAGCTACTTCCAGCAATGACATTTATTAAACAAGGACAGGGCCAGCTAATGTTTTGAAGCTCCTCCTGGTTCTCTGATTCTAAGATATTAGAGTGTTTTTTCCACTTTAATAGTTACTTCACAATTTTTTTTTCTTGGTTGGGCATATAGTAACTCATCAATTTTTTAAAATGTCCTTGTGAATAATAAAATATAATAGAAGAAAGCTATGGGGAAATATGTCCATTTTTCCAAAGACTTCATAATCTGTAACAACAAAATATGATCCATGAAATTGAAACTGAACCCTTTAAAAAGTAAAATGATATCAACAACATCAATAAAATCAATATTGAATCAATGTGTACTACTAGAAAAAAATAAAGGAATGATAAAAATTGATAGGAATTAATCAGTGGTCGCTTCTTAGAAGCACTGACTTATTTCAAATTCAGAAGGTAGTGATGAATTTCAAGTCAACCAAGGGGCTCTATGTAGAATGATGCAGTGACTAAAATATGAATAAGCTATGGTCCTCACACTTAAAGCATCAGTGGTGTAGTTCAGAATTTGTCCCGACTCTAATACAAAAGTAGAGTGTGCTATGAAAAAAAAAGGAGGAGGATGAGTTTATTCCATATGCTACTGTTGTTTAGTCTCTAAGTCAGGTCAGACTGTTTTACCACCGCATGGACTGTAACCCAGCCGCCTCCTATGTCCATGGAATTTCCCAGGCAAGAATACTGGAATGGGTGGCCGTGTCTTTTTCCAGGGGATCTTCCCAACAAACAGATGGAAACCAATTCTCCTGCATTACAGGCAGATTCTTTACAGCTGAGCTGCCAGAGAACCCATTTATTCCATATGATTCCCATGTTAAAGGACTGGGTATGACTTCATGGGCATAATTTGAACTAAGCCCTTGAAGTGGCTGAGGAGAGTGGCTGGGGGCCTTTCAACAGAATTGTTAACCTAAGTAACAATAGGTAGCACATTGCCCAGAATGTTCAGGGAAAAAATACACAATGTGAATGAAACAAACCATTTCACAGAGGTGATATACAACTATGTTTGGCGAAATAATAGCCTAATACACTAGACTAGAGAGAAGTGCTCGAGTGAGAGTGCAAAAAGAAGAGATTTGCCAAATTTGGAGACAAGGGAGGGCTTCAAAGGTTGAGGAGTTTGATATCCATAAATGCCAAGTAGCAACATTCCCCAAAGATTCCAATTATAATTGAAATATTAGGCCTGTTTATACCTGGCCTCAACTACTCACTTGGTTTCGTTAACAAATCTCCAGTCTGAAATGAGGCCAGACTGGATATAAGTTAACCATCAGAAGAAAGGAAGTCACAATCCTCAGGATTTTAAGGAGAATGCTTGCAGAAAATCCTTTCATTCTGGTACTGGGAGGCTGTCGTTCAGTACTTTCTCAGCTCTTTCCATGGAGAAGCAACCAACTTCCTCATTCTGCATTAATATACAAGGTCTGTGGGTAATGTTCTTATCAAATGTTTCACTGAAGCATGCATTTCTGTTTCACGTAATTATTAAATTTTTACAATGTCAAGATCTTATCCTTTTTCTATCCCGACTGCCTAAAAAATACACTGGAGACAAAAAAAAAAAAAATCAATGTATGAAAGGTAATTAGCACGCCCTCTCCTTATATATATATATATATATATATATAACTTTATAATTGAAATCTCATTAAAAGCTTTCTAGGTCTCCTTTTCCTTAGTGACCAGGTGTCCCTAATTTGTTTTTAACCGATGTAACTAATTCCAGGCAAAGACTAGAAAAAGTCTGATACCTGTTGGAGAATTGCAATAACAAGGTTAAATAAGTGGGGTGGCTTTTTTAGGTTGGCTTTAACCTCCTTAAGGGGGGAAAAAAAAAGAAAGGCTTCAACGTCTTTTCTCTTAGAGTCCTGCCTTTTTCTCAGTCCCGGTTGAAGATTCCAAGGGAAATGAGAGCACTATTTTGTTTCTCCCTTGTATTGCAGATAGGGGGAGGAGGTGGTTATTAGAGAGAAGCTCTTCCTCTCTCGGTTTTCCCCTCTCTCCGCCTGACAGCACCGCTCTCTCGCGGGCTCGCTCGTTCTCCTAGGTGATCCATTTCTAGGCAACGTGGGTCTAGTGCTGAAGCTGCCAGGCTCGCTCCTTGCTCGCTTCCTGCATCCCGCCAGGCGAACCGCTCCAAAAGCATCCTGCAGCCCGCGGCGGCTTCCCTCCTCCGGCCCGGCCCCGCTGCTCGCACCCGGCGCAACTCCCCCGCCACCGCGCCCCAGCGAACCGGCTCCGCGGGCCCGCCTCGCCGAACTCCGCTCCCGCCTCGCGCAGAAAGGGAATTTTTCTCTGCATTACTATCTGCATTACCTTGAAGTTCACTTTTACTACCCCTCTTGGAGAGGGCTTTTTCCCCTCCCTACTGGAATCTGGCTGTTCCGCTCGGAATCTCCTCATCTTGCCACTTAGATTTTATTTTGGCAGCGAAGACAAGCGATTCTCCGCGGGCCGTTGGGGCGGGGGGGAGGGGGGCTTTTTCGGTGGGGGGAGGGGGAGGGGAACATCCGGCGTGAGGCGGGGGGCGGGGGGGGTGGTCTGTTGGAAGTTGCGGCGGAGCTGGGACCGGAGACCCGCGGCCCCGACGCAGCGATGGGGATGGTCTGAGCTCCAGCCTCTCCCCCCTGCCCGAGAACAACGAGGCTGGCTACATTTTTAAAAAGCCAAACTGCAAACAACTCTGGCGATGCCAAAATTCCCCTCCAAGTGACACGGCTTCGCGAAGGAGGTTTCCTCAGGCTGGGCTCTTTCTGTCACTCGCTCTGCCTTCCTCAGCGACGATTAAAAGCTTTGGTCTGGTTATAGGAATTTGAAGGGGGGGAAGGAGAAAAAAAGAAAAAGCTTGTGCTAAACTATCGTGACCTCAAACTCTTTGGACTTTTATATATTTAACACTGAAAGAAAATCCATCCTAAAAGAGAATCAGCCTAGGAGGAGATGGAAGTTTTCCCCTTGCTCTTGGTTTTGTCCGTCTGGTGGTCTCGAACCTGGGACTCGGCGAATGCGGATTCGATCATTCACATCGGTAAGAAAGGGCTGGCGCTGCCCATGGGTACTTTGACCGTTTGGTTTCCAGACGTTTTCCCTTTGCTTCCCCCTCTCCGCCCTCTGTGTGGCTCGTTGGCGGTGGCTTCGGTTCATTGCCCCTTCCCGCTACCCTTCCCTCACACTTGTGCAGTTTTCTGGAAGGATGTGGATGCTGAACCTGGACTTGTGCTGTTGTTTCGCGGTGAATCCTGGAGCGTGGGCTGGATGCGTGGGGTCTCAATTTACCTCGGCGTGCGTGTGTGCCGGGAGCGCTGGGGGCTTCTGAATGTGTGAGGAAAGGAAGTTTCATCGACTCTGCCTTCCATATTCTTTCCCGGATGTATATTTGCTCCATTAAAAAAAAAAAAAAATATATATATATTTATATATCTTTGAGGGGAACAGTCATCTGCGAAGCGAAAAGAGCTGGGGTGGGAGATGGGGGTGGGCGGTGGGGGTGGGCGAGAGCTCCCTTCGGATCGAACAGGTGGTTTTGCAACGTGAGCGGGCCGCGTTCGCCGCAGCGCGTGCGGCGGTGACGGGGTGCTGGCGGCGCCCCCAGCCTCCTGCTCTTCTCGCTGTCCTCTCGGCTTTGCGGTACTCGCGCCGAGTCGCCGCCACCGTGACGGGAGGGGCCGGCGGCCGTGTCGCCGAGGACCGGGGGCCGCGCACCTCGCTGCCCGGGCCTCGCGCTCCCCGGGCCTGGCGCGGCGACGAGACTGGCCTCCGGCGCTGGGGGAAAAGCGAGAGCAGAGGCGCGCGGGCTGCCCTCGTGGGCTGCCTCGCAGACACCTGCCTCGCCTCGCCGTCAACTCGCGAGTTGCAGCGCCAGGCCGAGAGCAAAGGCGCTTGGGGCTCGGGGTGGCCTGACTCCGGGAAGGACGCCGACCGGCTTGGAGATGCTTGTGGCCCCACCTATTGGCAACCAGACGGGCCGGGACTGGCCGCGGCGGGCGCTGGCGCGGGGGCGGGCGGGGGCTGCGCGTCATTATCATGCACCGCGCTCGCGGCTTCAGGCTCCAACTCTTCTCACTTGCTAATCCCTGAGAGCTGAACGGAGACCGGCTCTTGCAGCCTTCTCTACGTTAATGCGATGATTTCCTTTTCGGAAATTCGCGTCCGCGGGCCAGCGAGGTTCATTTACTGCGCTGAGGAGAGGCCCCTCTTGGGGAATTTTTCTGGGCACAAGACTTTTATCTGTCCACACGGTTTGATGGTCTGCAAATTGAGGCGACAGATGGGTCGCAGCATCTCCCCATTCCGTCCCCCTGCCGCTCCCTCGAGCAACACACACACACACACACACACACACACACACACTTAGGTCCTGAAAGGGGAACCTGGTGCAGGTGGAGGTTGTGTCTGCCCTAGCCAGGGATTTCTGTTTGGTGTGTGAACCTACGGAGGCCAGCCTCAGCTCCAGGGGGCTCCCTCTCTTGGTCTCAGAGGCTGTCTTTGTAAACATGTCTGCCATTCTCTATCGTTTATATCAATAGAACCATATAGGTCCCTGTGCGAGGAGTAGTAAGGTCAGGGTTCAGAAAACCTTGTGCGTAGTCATTTAGTAAATTAATCACTAGATAGCTGCCTACTAGATCACATTTTGCCTGGGGGCAACAGTGCCTGTGGGTTCAGAACTTTTCAGGGAGAAATTATGGCCTCATTGAGTGGTTCAGTAATGGTCTGATAACAGTTGAGAAATGACGTATCCTCCTGTTAAAGAAATGATGTACATTTAATTTATATCCAGTTGTAAATAATTGAAGCAGGAATACAGATTTATATTATTACAGTACCTTTACATTCACATTGTGTTTAGGAGTTTCTGCCTTATGCTCCTCATTGCTCAGAAGCGAGGATGTGGATAAATGCTTTATTGCTTATTCAGTGGTCTACACGATAAGTACTTTACTTGCAAACACCTGCAGCTGTTACTGTCCTCTACCAGATGAATACTATCTTGCAATGCAATCTGGGCATTTGTTTCAAAATAGAACACAACTATTGTATTTTTTCCTTTGAGTTCTATCAGTCAGTATGACATGGCTTACTTATTTATAACCTGACCCGCCACCCCAAGTTACAATAGAGATTTCTTTAGAAAGCTGATTGTATGCATTTAATGTATATATTGAAACTACTGAAAGAAATAGTTACTTCTCAGATAATTTGACTTGAATTCATTTAGTACATTACACAAGAGAAGTACCTTCTTTATAGACTACCTAATATTGCCATGAAACTAGCAAATTGATGGTTTTTTCAGATGCTTCATATCTTTTGTAACATACTGAAAAATATTACCTCCTAAATTTAAAAAAATGATCAAGTGTAATTAATGTGCACACCAGAGGTAAAAACACCCTTTCTGTTCTACCCCCATCCTAGCTAAACTATAATAAATTAAAAACTGAGTAACTATGTCAAAAATTTTAAAGTACCAGTTAATAGTATTTGGATCAGATTACGTGGTTGAGTAGGAAAAGATAATTATCTCTAGGGGGATAGTCTTCATTTAAGTATTTAATTGTGAGAAATATGCTTATGGCCAACATACTCTAGGACTAAAGGGATAAATGTGATGAAACTGGAGGGGAAGTGAATATTTCAACTCTGTGGATATAAAGAGATATGCAGAAATGAAAGGTTTTCACAGCCTCATGTGATGTGTTCAGGTAGAAGTAGCTGCAATATGTAGTTCAGGTGAGCTAGAAAGATAAAAAGACACTGCTTAAATAGGTTCTTTAAATATTGAATCTTTTTGGCATTGAACCAAAGTGTGTGCATGAAAACTGCCGCCTCTTCCTCTTTGTTTTTATTTCATGCAGGTATTTTTTAATAAAATCAATAATATATTTTAAATTCATATATTTTTTGAGCACATTAGTTCACTGCAATGATGAGATATAATGGTTAAACTCTAATAACTGAAATGAAAATGTATTTATTAGTCAAAATGAACTAATGTAATTACTTTGAATTTCTGTAAAATCATATTTTAAAGGAAATTGATAATTATAATACTCTTGTTTAATACACATGTACATGAAATACATGCACAGTGTTTAGAAATAAATCACCTCAGTTGTGATCTTCTTTGCCCCCCCCACAAGGAAAGGTCTTTTGACATATAAAAACTGTGCAATTTTGAATTATGCTTCTACTTTGAGCTTGTGCATTGATTGAGTAATTTCATCAGACTCACATTACTTGATTGCTTAGAAGTTTCCTAATGATCTGCATTCTGTAGGAAGAACCAAAAAGTCGTGAGTGGAATGGCAATGATATTGTGTTTTATGAGGCTATTCAAAAGTCGCTCTGATTTATGTAGCTAGAAAGCTCCAAAGTCTTTGAGATTAGCCACGCTGACTGCTATTTTCTTCATACATCAGTTGTCCCACACTCTTTACTCCCTAAACACAACAGGAGTTTAGAGCACTGCTTTAATTAAGCAGGGATTAGGTGGCATTTCCAGTCAACCTCAGGGTTTGTGTCTTGCTTCATATCTAGTACAGAGGATCTCATGTTTTAACAGTTTAATGTATGCTCTTTTCTTTATCTGCTTCCTGTGCCCTTAGAACTGATTGAGATGAGCCATCCTCAGTTATATATCTCTGCAAGGGAACACTCAAACAGTGTACTTAGTCATATATTACAAAAACCACTAGCATGTTTTTATTATTATCGGTCATGGTAAAATACCTTATGCCAACAGGGAATATAAATAAAGCACTTATGCATGTTTTTCTCATAAGCAAATGATACTTTGTCCTCTGAGATCATAATCATCACCTATGACATGTTTGAGAATCCGAAGACAATTCACAGAATATTTTCATCATGAGAAAGTTTAAAGTACAAAACTGATGGGTGAATAAAATGTGTCACCACATTATAAGCATTATAAATATAATTGATGGCAACTTTAAAGCATTAATTTTCATTACTGCTGCACTGAGGACAATTTTAGCAAATAGAGAATGTAGTGGCATTTCCAGAAGTTGTACTGTGTATTCTGTCAAGTTGTTTTTTTCCAATTCTTCACATGATTTGCATTGCTTAGTGATAGCCTTCAGGAGTCATCAAGAACTCTCTACTGTACAAGATATTTCAGTGATTTAAGTTATCCTTTTATTATTTACAATAGTTGTTTGCTCCCTAAGTTACAGATAACTTACACTGTAAACTTCTAGAGAGTATTAAGAAGTAGCTTCTGGATATAAAATTGGAGTATACTTTGTAATGTATACTTTTTTGTATCAATAATACAGTTATTTGAAGTGCAATTCAGATATGCATTAAGTTAGACAGTGTTATTAATCAACAATATCAACTGTGACATGATTAATAAGCCATTACACTGAGGACCTTTGCTTTCTACTCCAAGTGAAATGTACATCCAATAAGTAGCTCCTATAAATTTTAATTCAAATATGAATAAAAATCAAGATCATTAACTTTCAACTTATCTAACAATAGAAACCAGTTGAGGTTATTAAGAGTAATAGAAGGTGCATTATGTTTAATTCTAATCGCTAAGGCTGAGTTCACCATACTGCAATTTTATCTCAAAAGTATGTAATTTTAAAACCACATTTTAATACAGAAGGTTGTTTTCCTTTACTTGCATGCAATACTTTAGTATTAAAAAGTAAAGTATTTGGCGCTATTAGATTTTCATGATATTTCAGACAATAGCATATTGGTGAGTAGCTATACTTAGCTTGACTACAAATATAATGTTTATTACAAGTTACATTTGAGGCCCTATAAAGATAATTTTGCCATTAGGTGTCACTGCATTCTGAGCTGTTCCTTTGTAGTCCTTCTTGAAAATCACATGAATTATTTTTCTTTTTTAATTTTTGGGAAAAGATGCCATTTAATTAGGATTGTGATACTCTAAGATACAGGTGGTCTTTATTTTCAGATGAGAGAAAGAAATGCTATCCCTGACTCTTGTAAGAATTTAATTCTAGGACATATCAACATTCTATA